GAGTGCTAGTTAAGGTTCAACTGCAGGAGTGCTAGTTAAGGTTCAACTGCATGAGTGCTAGTTTAGGTTCACCTGCCCGAGTGCTAGTTAAGGTTCACCTGCAGGAGTGCTAGTTTAGTTTCATGCAGGCTTGTCACCTATGTAGGTTTGTGTATTCATCCCCAGGACCGAGGCAGAGTCGTCGCGTCTCTGCGGGGTCTCTGTGTCCCTCTTTACAGCCACATGGGTTTGTTCCTGCACCACTCCTCCCCAAGTCCCTGATCCCTTCCAACTGCTGATCTAGTCTTCATTTCTACAGCTTTGGCATTTTGAGATTGTTATATAAATGGAATGATACAGTAGGTAACCACTGGGGAGGGTCTTTTTATTTTTCCATAGAGTAATTCCCTAGAGATTTATTCATACTGTGCAGGTATCAATAGTTCATTTGTTTTTATGCTGGTATGTCTGGATCACAGTTTGTTTAACCATTTACACATTGTAGGACATCTGGGTTGTTCCTAATTTTTGGCTGTTGTGTCCTCTGTTTTTTTCTGTCTCTCTCTTTTTTTCACCTTCCTCTGGATTATTCAAAGATATCTGAGGATCCCCATACCAGCGAATGCTTTTAGGATCCCCATCCTAAAAAAGTGTTTACTGAGAGTGCTTGTGAGGGTGTCTCTGAATGACGTCCTTGTGTGGCTCTGGGTGTCACGGTGCACACAAGCACACCTGGCACTTACACGATCAGCAGGCCTGGACATTGCACCACTCTGAGTCAGGAATGTGGCCTGACTTCCACTCAGGCCCTTTCACTTCCCCCACCTTTAAATATCATCGTCTTCATTGTCAGATGGTGTTATAAATTTTGTTTCAATCATTAAATATGACTTACAAAACACATGGGGACAGTCTACTGCCTTTACCCGCGTTTCTGCTCTTTCTGCTGGTTTTTCTTCCTTCCCAATGCTCCAGTATTCTCTGTATTTCCTTTTTATTTGACAAACTGCAGCGTTTTTAGTCATCTGAGTGTGTCTTCATCTTCCCTTCATTTCTGAAGTGGACGGAGGATTCACATTGGAGATTCTTTTCTTACATCATGAACGATGTTGGGCCATTCCTTCCGGCCTCCTGAGTTCAGACTGGAGTCTGCCAACCTTTGAACTGGCCTCGCCTGGAAGTAACGTGTCATCTCCTGGGTTTAGACTGGAGTCTGCCAACCTTTGAACCGGCCTCACCTGGAAGTAACATGTCACTTTTCTCTGGCTTCTTTAAAGATTTTTCTGTCTTCATTTTTCAGAAGTTTAACTGTTGTGTGTTTCAGCATAGATTTCTCTCTGTGCATTTTATGTAATGCCTTCTGAACTTCCTAACTATGCAGATTTTTATATTTCATCATTTTTAAAGGTTTTCCGCAGTGATTTCCTCTGATGCTTTTTTAGGCTCACTTCCTTTCTCCTCCCCTTCTGAGGCTCCAGTGATACCAATGTTGAATTTTTATTACCGTCCTAAAGCTCCCTGAGTCCTCATTCACTTTTCTGTCAGTGTCTTTCCTCCTGTTGCTCAGACTGGGTGTGACACCCTGAGGAGTCCTCAGCATCTCTGCCCTTCTACCGATACCATCCTGTGGATTTTTTAGAATTTGTTATTATTGCATTTTTCAGTTCTTTAGTGTCTATGTGGTTCTTTTTTTACAACTTCTTTTTTCTTTACTGAAATGTTCTGCATTGATAATTGTTTTTATTTGTTTATTTATTTTTCAATTTTTAAATTAAATCATAGGTGTGTACATTAATGCAATCATGGGGTACACAAGGTGCTGGTTTTATATACACTTTGAAATATTTTCATTAAAGTGGTTAACATAGCCCTCATGGCATTTTTGATAATTGTAGACTGAAGTCTATGTTTTTATGACGGGTGCTCTAGCCAATTCCGACCAACCTCTGATTTATTGTAATGTTGGTGTCAATGCATTTTGCTTTTCTTGTTCCTGTTGTGTTTTCTCTGGTTCTTTTTATGGTGGGTGATTTCCAACTATACCTTGAGTTCTTTGGCCCTATGGAGAAATCTCTCATTTGTGCAGACAGTCGCCCGACTTGGGTTTAACCAGTATGTCTCAGCCTGCTTTGTGTGTGTGACTTCAATGATGGCTGAATTTTCAGAGTCTTTCTGGTGCTATTTTGGTCTGCCCAGTGGATCTGGAGGCCTGGTGGATAATCCCTAACGCTAGCCCTGCTAGTCCCTGATACTACTGCTTGAAGAAACAGATGGCATTTCTTCAGGCCTAGCTTGTAGCAGCATTCACATGGGGGACTGGAGTTTTGCAGTTAGAAAAGCCGAGGGCTTGGTAGGCCAGGCGTCTGTGGGGTCAGGACCATTCGGCTGTGGGGACAGGGAGAGTTTCCAGGCCCAGCCCCTTGTGGAGGAAGAATGCCCTCGGCCTATCTCCTGGCTGCTCTGGGTCTGGGCTGGGTGCTCGCTGTTACTGGAGCTCCAGTCCAAGCTCCCTGCAGGCCTCCCAGGGGAAGGAGCATCATATCCCTGGCTGGCTGTTACCCCTGGGTGTCTCGTTGTTGGTGTTGCCCACCAGAGAGGGATGAGCCCCGCTGAGTCACCTTCTGTGCTAGATTGTTGGCTAGAGGATGTGTGCTGTGCTGGAGGGAGGTTGTAGTGTGTGCATGTGTGTGGGTGTGTGGGGATATGTGTATATATGGGTGTGTGTAGTGTGTGCATGTGTGTGGGTGTGTGGGAATATGTGTGTGCGTGGGTGTGTGTGGTGTGTGCATGTGTGTGGGTGTGTGGGGATGTGTGTGTGCATGGGTGTGTGTAGTGTGTGCATGTGTGTGGGTTTGTGGGTGCCCTCTATTTGTAGTTTTAAGGTATTTTATGGAGCTTCTAAATTGGTTGTGTTCATGACATTATTCAACCTTTGTACATTTTTCAACCAGGATAGCTGGCATTTACTGTGTATTTAGTATGCACCAGGCCTGGTGCCAAGATATTGAACTATTACTTTATCTTAGTACTTAAAATCATCTCTATCCCTATTTTTCTTGATTTCTGAAGCTGAGAGTGTGAGCTTTTCCTCTGTTTACTCTAGTGGCTGCCTGTGCCCCAGTGAGGGTCTCCTAGTGACACTTGGGATGTGGTCTGACTCTCAAACTGTCCTGAAACATCGTCTCTTTGGCATTCAGACTATTTTTGGTATTAAATGTGATTATGTTGCAACAGATGTCTTCATGGAAATAGCTTTATATTTTATTTAAACTACTTACTTAGAATAGAGTCGTTTTATCTTGGGAGAAAAAGGCATGTGCATTTTTTTATGGATCGGTGACTATGAGCATTTTTATGATACTTAATTATTTTATAAGAGTCTTATGCCAAATGTATTCTGCTAGAAGCAATAAATGAAATAAATATACCAGTTTTACTCTACCCTCAATGGTCTTGATACCATAAAACAAATAAATAGATATGAATTGGGAATACATTTTAAATATGGGCAACTCTGATTAATTTACTCAGTTATGTAGCGAGCTGAATGCTGAGGGGACAGTGGTGAAAGGCAGGTGGCATTTGGATGAGCAGAGTCAAGAAGAGAAGTGTCAAAGGACTCACCTTCCACATGAGGACACTGGACTCTTACAGGTCAGGTCAGCTGAGCTGCTGCTGGCCATGGCTGATTTTAGGTCTGATGTCGACGTGATATGTGATGCTTGTGCATTTTCTTGCTGTAATTGTTACTAAAGATTTGCACTAGTAGAACAACAGAGTAAGAGATGTCTCCCAATATGCTTCATTTTGCAGGCTAACTACACCTTTTATTTTGTGGACAAGCTAAAAACTTTATCTGAAACACTGCTGAACTTGTTTAGTCTTTTCCAGAGAAGTGGAAATGGCGAGATGTTCTACCGACTGCAGGTGAGTGGCCATCGCCTTTGCCCCTGAGGGCTGGGGGAGCTCCCAGCTGGGGTCTGGCTGAGACACTGAGCAGCCCTTCCAAAGATCCTACAAAGTCATCTCAGGCAGGGTTTTTCCAGTGTGACTAAGGTCATTGACATAAAATTGGATATGTGTGAAAACTTTTTGTGAATTTTTAATGTTTTGCCCATGCAATATGGTACTATATTGAGAATAATTAATAATTTGTTAATTTTTACCTGTACTTAAATTCTACATTATACATAAAGATTTTTAGGTGATTTGCATATTTTTCAATTGTTGGTCTATTAAAGTGATCAATGACCATTTACTAACATTCTGTATTGACAACCTAATGTTTACAAAAGTAAGTGGGCTGTGATTTAAAGCCCCTACTGCCCAATGATCATTGACCAAAGCTTTAACTCAGAGAGATAACCTAATAACACTTGGGACATTTCTGTAGCTCTAACTTCCCTAAAATCTGATAGGAAGAAAAGATGCCCATAGTTTTATTCTTATTTGGCTTATTTATTATCCATCAGACAAGCAGTTCAGAGCATGAATTCAGGAGGCAAGATCTTCTGAGTCTGATTCCCCGATCAGACCACTGTGTGATTGATCTTGGATTAGTCACTGAACTTCTCTGTGCAAATGAGTTAGGATGTATAAAGCACATAGAGAGGGTTTGACACAGAGGAAATGCTACTGTGTGAGTCTGGGTCTTCCAAGATGGGGCGACATGTGCAAGAATTGTATTTGGGGACATGGTTGGAAGAGTGAAGGGAGAGGGAGCCTTGCTGAGGTCAAGGTGGTCGAACAGTGATAAGAGTCAGACCCTGAGGGAGGCAGGGGAGGTGGTGGAAGCTTCCTGATTAGCCCTGCTATTTAATGGACATGGTCCAGGCCATGAGGGAGGCATGGAGCCTATGTCTGCCTGGTCCAGTGGCTCCTAGGAGGACCCTCTGGGCTGGTTACTGGGGAGGAACATCCAGTGGGGGTGTGGCCTCAGGGCAAACTGACATGGGGCACAGCAGGGGACCCTGGTAGTCAGAGGTCTGCTGTGCACAGTCACAGAGGCCACAGCTATTGTGTTAGCTATTATTGTACTTTTCTTCTCCTTCAGGGATTAAATTATTAATACAGATGTCAGCACATCTTTGCTGTTACTGGGCCAGATAATACATACTTTAGACTTGATAAGGTCTCTACGGCAACTACCAATTACTATATGCAGTATTGTAAATGCCAAATTGAGAATATACAAAGTGCTATGAGGACACAAAGGAGAGTCCAGCCCTGCCGTGAGACCTGGGCAGCTCCTTGGGAAGTCTGTAGTTGATTACTGTTTACTAAGCCGTCACATCAGAAATTAAAGTCACTTATTCTATTGCTTGAAGAACATTTTATCTTACACAGGAGACAATGTCATATGGTGTTAGTCTATTTCTTAGCATTGGATCAAGTTCAGAGACAGCTTGGGTTTGTAGCAGAGAGGACACCACCTTGTGCTTTCTGCCATTTGATCTCAACAACATTCCCATGAGATTGTTACCTCCACTGATGGGGAACCAGCCTGGTTCTGCCCCCAGGCTTTGTTAGTAGTGCCTGCAGGTGAAGCCTGCAGCGGCCCGGCCCATTCCCCATTGGTAAAGGCGACAGCAGCTTCCTCCTGGGTGTCTTTGAGAGTAAATGCCAGTAACGCATAATAAAGTGCCCTGCTCATGGTCTGGCAAACAGGTAACGCTCAATGAAAGAAGGTAGGTAAGACTGAAAAAGTGAGCACAGAGGATTCATAATAAAGTCTTGCCATCCTCAAATGAAATTAGATAAAGTCATTCTATGTCATGAAGGAATGTGAGAAACAAAGGAGCTAAATACAGAAGGTGTACACTATCTGAGAATTCCTCCCTGAGGCTCCAGGCTTATCAAGAGATATCAATATCAATAACATACAAATAGTCCCCAAGGGACTGGCAAATCCCCAGTTGAACCCCCTCCTTGATGCCGGTGCTGAGTCTTGATGCCTTAGTATTTCCCCCTCAGCTTCCTGTTGGCTGTTGGGTGTTGGAAGCACGTGGTGGTACCATGCGGATAAATGCAAACCAACCGCCAAGGACAGATGCAAACCTTGATGACAGTAACGCTGGGGTACTTGCCCCACTGGCAGATGAGGCAAAGTTAGTTAGAACCATCAATACTGAGACAGAGAAGTGGCCCAGATGATGCAGTGAAAGGTGTTTGCAAAGACAATGATTTGAAAATCAGAACATTAAGAGAAACGTTGGGAAGTACTGAAACTCCTCCTCAGTGTTTGGTAACAGTAAACTCCTCTTTATAAGTAACCCGTGGAAAAGATAATGTGAAAGAAAGTAAAAAGAAAAGAATCTTACAGAAAGTAAAGAGTAACCAAACTATGTGTAGTTCCATTAAAAATATTATCAAAAAGTTAATTCATTCTTTGTTTTCATGTTTAATGCATCATTACAATTATAACCTAAATTTTTATAATTTTTTTCAAGATCCATGTTCGAACCAAATGATGCCTTATTATTTACTGCGATGCCTTAGAACTTCTTTAAAAGTTCACTTTATGTGTCTTTTCTTCTGTCTGATGAAACTCGGAATAAGTCTAATAAGTGTTAGTCAGAGGAAATGATGTAATTATTTTTGTTAAGCTCTATCATTTTCTTTTAGGAAGCCCTGAGAAATAAATTCATAAGAAACTTTGTAGAAAGCCAGTTGCACATTGACGTCAACAAACTCACTGAAAAACTCCAGATATATGGTACGTGTGCTGGGGCCTGTTAGGGTCCACTGGCCCAGCTGGCTCTGCCACTTGGGTTCTTACTTTGGGCCATGATGTTGCCACGTGACTTGCAGCAAGTCATTTTTCCCCTTGTAATTTGTTTTCTTATCTGTGACATGAAAAGGTTGAACTAAATACCCTCCAAAGTTTGCCTGTGCATGAAGTTTTCTGATTTTGCTGATTTGGGGCTAGACTAGTAAATGGCTTAGTTAAACAGGAAGCCTTCCTCAAATACAAGAACATTGTGAATTACAAAGCAAGTTTATGAAAAATTACTACTACCGAGTTAACAGTAAATTGAAAACAGTTGTATTGATTTGAAAATGTGGAGCTCAGTAAAAAAAAAACTATCAATCAGCAAACACTGTATGTCTTCTATCAATGAATCCATGAATTCACTTGGACGTTTAACAAACATTTGCTGAACACACTAGGAGGGCCAGTTCTGCGTGTAAGAATCTGGAGAGTGGCATGAAGTATTCTGTCCCCCCATGTAGTGCAGAGGGAGGATGAGGACGTGTACAACTCATGGCACTGTGCTCTCTGACCAGAGAGGAGCCAGCTGGAGGGAGCTGGGGATGGGAGACAGGAAGGGGTCAGGCGGTTCAGAGCGGCTTGAAGTAGGAGCTGGAGAAAAGCAAGACCTTTCCTTAGGCATAATACTTCCTTTTTTTGAAAAAGAAATTCGATGAATTTACTACTTGGAAAATGTTAATATTTTAATATAAATGTTACGGCCTTAAATGATTTTTTCGAGTAATTAAAACAGTTAAGGTTTTTATGACAGAGTCCACATCTTATGTTGTTGGGAATCAAGGGCTGACATAGGTCTGAGAGCTTTTCCGCCTGGAACACAGGTGACCCCATCAGTTTGCATCTGCAGTCGTCCTGGTGTTAATATGGATGTCTCAGTGTGTGAATCGTGAGCACTGGACTTCAGTCACGTTTGTGTAACACACGGCCACTACCTCTCTCTCTGTTTTTCTTTGAGAAGAAGGAAAGGGAAATTTATTTTTTTTTGCTGGCAAAGGAGGAACAATGGCAGACTGTTTACTCAAAATAGTGAATTTTCCTGTGGGTAAGCAGAAGCCCAGAGCATTTGAAAAGGAGGACCTGCTATCATTCTGATTCTTACCATCTCATCTCTGTCCCAACACTGCCAAAGACAAATCCTGACCTATACCCACCTGGGAAGCCTCCGTACCTCCGCCAGCCTCTAGGCCATCTTCTGTAGTACCACTCTGGAGTAGGTTTTCCTGAATAGGAACTTCTCTGATAAAATTAAGGGGAAAGCCCCCCAAAGTCCAGAAGTTTAGACCTACAAGTATGTTGGGACTCAGAATATGGGATTCACATGGAGTTTTGAAATTTGTGAGGCGTGACTCTTCCCTTCTTCTTGCTTCAGAGTCAGAGCCTGGAGCTGCTGTCATCAGCAGTGGGGAATGGTGGTTATTTTCCATCTGACAGACACTTAGAGCCTCTGTGAGCAGGCGCTGTGTGGACACAGGTGCTCTTCACAGCTAGGTAGTGGGTGGGGAGGGAATGGATCACTGATTAGGTGCAAATTTCCTTTTAGAACTCCCTCGTTGCAGAATTAACTCACCTTACTCATGTGTCCTTGTAATTTTTTTTAACCTAGGTCATACATACATTTCTTCATCCAAAAATGAGTATGTGCTGATGGGTGTAAAATGATCATTTGAAGTTATTTTGATGTATTCTTGAGAACGTTCACCCAATCATGCTGATGGTTCTATTCATTATAAAAGTTTAAAATTTTTTTGATTATTACAAAAACCATATATGTCTATTATAGAAACATTAGAAATTACAGATAACCCGGGGGGGCCCTCCCCTCCCATAATCTTATCACCACAGATATCTATTGTACAAGCTTTGCTTTTTTTTTTTTTTTTGAGAAGAGTCTCACTTTGTTACCTCAGTAGAGTGCTATGGAGTCACAGCTCACAGCAACCTCAATCTTTTGGGCTTAAGCGATTCTCTTGCCTCAGCCTCCCTTATAGCCGGGGCTGCAGGTGCCCACCACAATTCCCGGGTATGTTTTTCGTTTATTTCTTTGTTTAGCAGCCCACCACAGCCCCGGTGCATGTCGCCCTAACCACTGAGCTACGGGTGCTGAGCCTATTGTACAAGTTTTGGGGTTCTTTTTATGATACATTTATATATGTACTTATGTAAACATAGGCATATCTATATTCAAAAATGACTGCACTGTCCATGTGATTTTGTAATAATTTGTAAAAAAGTAACTACATGGCAAAGGTTCTTCATATCCATAAATATTACCTCCAAACCAAGGAAGAGTTCCCTAATCCAACCCCTGCTTCTGTTTTCACTCCCTGATTTGAATTACTTCTACTTTGTTTAGTAGTTTCTTCTGGACCTATAGTAGTGTTTCTTGGTTTATTTGTTATGGGAAGTATCGATTGATTTCCTGTTATGGAAGATGCAGCTGTAGTTTTGTATCATATCGTTTCCCTGAGAGTTGCTCCCACTGTAGTTACAAGACCATTTTGGTTGTCGTGAAACATTATTATTAGACAAATATTGTTCAATGCAGAGCCAAGCCACGCATTGCAATGGCATTTCCGTTTCTGTAAGGTTTCCCCTTTCCTGGAGCTTCATGTTTTCTTGCTCTGACACCTTCCGTCCTTTGCTCTTGCCCCAGGAGCCCACAGATGCCTCCAGGGTGAGTGCCTTGGTCTGTGAAGATGCACACCCTGCCCCCGCCCGGACTCTCTCTCAGCTCCTGTCTGGGCGGCCCCCTCTCCTGCCATCACCATCAGGCGGCTGCTTTCCTGGGAATTCTCTCTCTTCTCTGCTCTCCTGGACTGGATACTATGATTTCTGGGTCCATTCTCTGCATTTTGCTTTATTGCCATGTTTCTGTGGGTTCATATTTGCAAATGTCATCCTGAGAAAGAGGGCAGGACATGACAATAACAGTTCTTGAGTAACTCAGCAACATCTTTTCTTTTTATAACTGAAGAATATTTGGAAACATGCCCTATTTCATCACTAGTCATTTAAATTTGAGTCTTTTCTCTCTTTGATCAGTCCTATTAGATGGTTATCAACTTCATTAGTCTTTTAAAAAACTCCACAATACAGGTATTTGGTCCTGTTTATTCTAGTTTGTGTTTGTTTTCTATTTCATTGATTTCTACTTTTGTTTTAATTGGTTCTATCTTTGATTTTTTGCCTTTTTTGTGGCAACTTCTTGAGTTGGATAATTAAATTGTTGATTTCCACTTGGCCTTCTTGTCCAACTTGGACTCGTGACTATCCATTTCCCTCTGAGCAGGATCTTAGCAGCGTTCCACAAGTTTTGATATGTTGTATTTTCGTCATCATTCAATGAAACATATTTTAAATATATAATGTAATTTATTTGTTTTGATATACAGGTAATTTGAAAGCCTATAGCTTAATTTCTGAATATTTAGGATTTTCAATTTATCTTTGTGTTACTGATTTCTGGCTTTATTTCACTGTGGCCACAGACTGTTCTGTTAATATGATTTCATTTGTGTGAAATTTATTGCGACTTACTTAATGTCTCCACATGTGGTCAATTCTGGTGGCTGCATATACTAGTTCTGTAATTCTGGGTATAATTCTGTGTATTCTCACTGTCTCCTTATTGTAGCAGTTATTAAGATTTGTGCGTTCGAATTTACCATTATGATTGTGGATTTGTATATTTCTTCTTTAAGTTCTGTCTATTGAGACTTCATGTATTTTGAGGCTATATTTTCACTTCTATTGAGAATATGTTGGAAGTTTTTATATTTTCCTCTTTAAGTTCCTTCCCTTCCTTTTTTCCTCTCTTCCTCTCCTCTCCCCCTTTCTTTTTCTTTGTTTCTTCCTGTGGTTTTATTACGATGTACTCAGGCATGGTTTCTTTGATGAGAATACTGTTTTGATTTTGTAGCACTTCTTGAATCAGTGACATTTGGGGGAAGTCTTGACAACTATCTCTTAAAACACTGCTTCTGATTGCCTGCTGGCACCCCAGTTAAACATGATTAAAAATTCTCACAGTGTTCATATGTTTCTGATACCGTTTTCTATGTTGTCCAACCTTTTATTTTCTCTTTATGCTTCAGTTTGTGAATTTTTTTCTTACCTGTTTTCTAATCTACTAGTTCTCTCTTCAGCTGGGTCTAATCTGCTATTAAACATATTATATTTTCCTTTTAAAATTCATTTTTATAGTTTTTAGTTCTCTGCTGAAATTTGCCCTACTTTAATCTAATTTTTAGTTGCAATAATTACACTTTTGAAATGTATGTTATGAACTATAATATTTGAGTCTTTTGGAGATCTTTTTCAGAAGTCTATTTCTCTCTTTCTCTCTCTCTCTCTTTTTTTTTTTTTTTTTTGGTTATTCTGTCTTATCTCCAGGAATACTAAGTATTTTTTTTTTTTTTTTTTGGTCTGGGGCTCAATTTGAACCCACCACTTCCAGCATATGGGGCTGGCACTCTACTCTTTGGAGCCACAGGAGTCGCCCAACTAAGTATTTTTTAATTAAATGCCAGACATTATGAATGAAAATTCTAGAAATAAATTTGACTGTACTGTTTTCCTTCCAAGAAGGGAGGTTTTCCTTGATATTTTTACCTCTCTTTAAAAAACAGTATCATTTTTTACTTTCATTTATTTTTTAATCATTGTTATTATTTTCTATTTGTTCATTTTGAGTTCTCTTTTTCATGCTGGAAGGTTTCCTTAAATATTAGTGATGTTATGAATGAGGCACTAAAACCTGAGTGTAAGCTGTTGATATTAGTGGAACTTCTTGTGAGTCAGTTGAGATCAATAGTTCTCAATCAAGAGTGATTTTGTCCCCCAGGGGACATTTGGTCATGTTGGAGATATTTTTAGTTGTCACAGCTGGTGAGATACTATTGGCATCTAATAGATTGAGGCTAGGTGTACTACTAAACATCTTA